AGAAGCGGAGTACGTGTTCATGTGTATCCCAACCAGCACTCCAGAGGAGACGCACTCTGCCGTCTTCGGCCGTATTCTGCTGTATTCACTGTACTCTTCTCCGTTGTATTCACGCGGTGCTCTGAAGACGCTGCACAAGACCGTGCTCCCGCCCTGACGTTGGCGTATTCAGTACGTAGGCTTGTGGCGCGCGCGCACCAGCTGACCATGGAGGGCTACACGTGGTGCCACGAGCGGAACGTCGTCACCGTCTTCTCGGCGCCGAACTACTGCTACCGCTGCGGCAACCAGGCCGCCATTCTTGAGGTGGACGAGCACCACAAGTACAACTTCATCCAGTTCGACCCGGCGCCGAGGCGAGGAGAGCCGCACGTCTCGCGCAGGGCGCCCGACTACTTTCTGTGACGCCCCCGGGCCCGCATGAGAACAATCATTGTCCGACAGTCGCGGGGCGGGGGGGTGTGTCTCGAGCTCCACGGCGCATGTGGGCCATGTCACGTCTTTCAATCTCCGGAGGGCGGGGAGCGGGGCGAGCGGCCCGGGCACGCAGCGGGGATAGAGTTTCGTTGAGCGCCCCCCCGTGGGTGAGACGGGGGGGGTTTTGAGGCCGCCGTCGCCGCGTTGTACTTCTCTAGTACTGTATTTTGTGCTGGGGCATGCGTGGTATTCGCGTATAACTCCGGAAGAGGCGAAGGGGGGGGGGGGCGGGGGGGGAGCCACGGGCCGGACGGCGGGTGCCCTGGTCGTTGAGCCGCTCCGCCCAGACAGTGCAGAAGTGACAAAGTGTGGACGAGACGGCGGGGCCCCGTGCGCCGGGCTCGACGCGAAGGGCCCCCTGAGGGCGCGAGGAGAGTCACGCCGTGCCCGCGTCGCCCCCCCCGCTGGCCTCCCCTCCCGCCGACTCCGCCGGCTCCAAGGCCTGCTCCACCGGCTGGAAGGACTGCGCGTCCGCGTCCCAGCGGTAGTAGACGCCGCCGCCCGCCGCCGGCCAGTACAGCGCGGTCCGCGCGTCGAACCAGAGGCCGCTCGAGGCGTTGTAGTAGCACCCCGAGCCCGCGTCCAGGACGAACCCGCCCGCGAGCGCCATCGAGTGCGCCTGAGGTGAGAGGTGAGCAGTGAGGTCAACCTGAGTGAGTGTGTGTGAGAGTGCGTGTGTGTGAGAGTGCGTGTGTGTGAGAGAGTGTGTGTGAGAGTGCGTGTGTGTGAGAGTGTGTGTGAGAGTGCGTGTGTGTGAGAGTGTGTGTGAGAGTGCGTGTGCGTGTGAGAGTGCGTGTGTGTGAGAGAGTGTGTGAGAGTGCGTGTGTGCGTGAGTGCGTGTGTGCGTGAGTGAGTGTGTCACGAGTGCGCCTCTGCCGTCACTCCCCCCGGAGGGCTGCCCTCGCCTCCTAAGGTCAAGTCAGGTACCCGTCACACTTCTTCGAGTGCCGAGGACCTGTACTCCGCTTCGAACGCGCCTCCTCCTCCCCC